TCAAGTTGAATTCCACTCATTGTGACCCTTTCAACAATAGATCTGAGCCCTGTCTTACTCTGTGCACTTTCAGCTCTGACATGCTCAAGCTCGTTGCTTTAACGTCGTTCCTTCTCATTGAGGGTTTTCCTTTCTTTTACTGAGCTGTGTTGGAGAAGAGTATTGAATATACCATGGACTGCTAGGAAATAGAGTATTGAATATACCATGGACTGTTAGGAAAACAAACAGATTGTCCTGGAGAGGGTGAAGCCAGGCTGCTCCTTGGAGGCAAGGATTCTGAAGCTTTGTCTGACATACTTTGGACATGTTGCAAGGAGGGACCAGTCCTTGGAGAAGGACGTCATGCTTGGGAGAGTGGAGGGACAGCACAGAAGAGGAAGACCCTCGATGAGATGGATTGATTCAGTGACTGGGGTAATGGGGGTTGGTGTGTCGGAGATGATGAGATTGGCACAGGATAGGGCAGAGTTTAGGGCTGTTGTACACAGGGTCGCTATGAGTCGCAAACAACTTGACAGCACCTAACAACATCAGTAACCTTCCCAAGCATGATGTCCCTCTCTAAGGAGTAACTTCTTACAATATGCCCAAAGTCTGTGAGGTGAAGCTTCACCATCCTTGTCCTCAAGGAACACTATGGCTTCACTTTCTCCAAGACATATCTGTTTGTTCTTTTGGCAGTCCACAGAATATTCAGTGCTCTTCTCCCAGCTCCACACCTCAAAGCTATCAGTTCTTCTGTCATCTTTATTCATTGTCTATCTCTCAGATAGTAAAGGGAGTTCAGGTGGCCTAGTGGTAAGCTGTGATACAGTCCCGAAGGCAAGTGGTTCCAATCCAGCAGCTGTTCCACAGGAGAAAGATAAGTGATCTCCTCCCTAGTGATTAAGCTGGAGGGTCAGCTTTGGGTTGGTTCTGACTTGATGGTACACAACAACTATGGCTTTAATCAGGTGCACTTAAATCATTATATCAGTTGATATAACCACTCTTCAGTACTTTGAGAGGTTCCTGAAAGGAGACTTTTTCTGTTCCAGCACTTCTTTTTTTTTGGTCGCCATGAGTCGCCTTCGACTTGACGGCACTTAACAACAACAACTGTTGCCAAAGGTATTGATTGTGGATTCCAGTCAGACCATTGTTGACAATTTCAGCCTTTTCTCTAGTGCTCATGAAGTTACTTAGCTGATTGGTGAGGATTTTGTCTTTTTGATGTTGAGATGTAATCCATATTTTGAAGATTGTAATCTTTGATCTTCTGTAGAAGTGCTTCCAGTCTCCACTTTTAACAAGCGAAGTTGTTGTCCCCTGCATAACACAGGTTGTTGATGAGTCTTCCAACTTTGAACCACGTGCCTTCGGGATTGCAATGTGACTTCTGCCACTAAGCCACCAGAGCTTTTCATAGAGTCCAGCTTCTTTAATAATTTGCTCAGCGTACAGATGGAATAGGTATGGACAAAAGATATATCCTTGACATACTTCCTTCTTGATTTTGAACCATGGAGTGTTCCATTCCCCCATTTGGACGACAGCTTCTTGGTGTAGGTTTTGTATGAATATAATGTGCTGGCATTCCCATTCTTCTCAGTGTTAATCATTGCTTATTATGAGCCACACAACCAAATGCCTTTGCACAGTCAATAACAAACAAATACACATTCTTATGGTATTCTCTGCTTTCTGTTAAGATCTGTCTCACAACAGCAATGACGTTCCTAGTGCCACAGCCTTTTCTAAACCCAGCCTGAACTTCTGCCAGTTTACTGCCATTATACTGGTCTGACTGTTTCTGGATGATCTTCTAGTATCTTGCTTGTGTTTGATAGGAGTACCGAATTTCCCATGGACTACGAAAAGAGCAAACATAAATGCAACTAAGGTTTTCTTAGAACCAAAATGGCGAAACCTCCTCTCACATAACATTGGGGCCAGTCCTTGAAAAAAAGACATCATGCTTCGAAAGGTGGAGGGTCACCTAAAGAGAGGAAGACCCTTGTTGGGATGGATTGACACAGTGACTGTACCAGTGGGCTGAAGCATATGAGAAATGATGAAGATAGGGGGCGCTGGTGGCCTAGTGGCAAGAAGCTGCACTGTAATCCCAGAGATATGCGGTTCAAATCCACCATATCCTCTGCTGGAGAAGGAGGGGCAATCTGCTGTACCAGTCAGATCCAATTTGATCACACACACACACTCACACACACACACACACACACACACACAGAAATAATAATAAAAATGATGAATATAACATAGGATAGGGCAAGGTTGACATCCATTGTTTGTAGGCGACTTGATGGCACTTAGCAAAATTTTGAGCTTCTAAGTTGTAGCTACATGCCGTGGAGCCCAGCAGAGCTCATAGTGCTCTTAGGAAATAGCAGTTGTAAACTTTGTCCTATCCTGCACCATCCTCAGTGTTGACCCAACTCAATGAAGCACCACGCAGTACCCAATTAAGAGTCCTTTGTTAGCCGGTAGCTGAGGGTGAGCGCATGATCGAAAGGACCCTCGAATGGAGCGTATCCCGCCGCAAGTTCCTTTGCGCCAGGCGGTGCACAGAGAGAAAACCTTCCTATAGAGCTGGCCCCTGAATATGACTTACAGCTTCCTACACTGTGACAAAATAAACTGTTTGTCAAAGCCAGCCCCTTGTGGTATATCTGTTACAGCAACACTACCAAAGCACATAGCTTCTCCTTGGGTACAGCCCTTTGTATCCTCAAGGATGCTGCACAAGTCTTTGCCATGGATGGTTCCTACTGAGTGCATCCCTTCAGAATATTTCTTTTTTGCTTTGTAATCAACTTCATTCTCTTTTAAGTTCACTGCCACATTTGTCTTTTCTCAGTATTGCATCTGTCTCTCTAGTATTTTCCAATACTGATAATGCTCAGAGACTGTATGATTTCAGTATGGATTACATCTCCACCTAAACAAAATAAAAATCCTCACTACTGGGCCATAAATTGTACCGGTTGTTATATTAACACACCCCGCCCCTTGTTGTGTACCATTGAGTCGGATCCGACTGGCACAGGAGGAGATTGCCCCCCCTCCAGCGGACCATCTGGTGGATTAGAACCGCGTGCCTTTGGGACACATACCTTTCTTTTAAAAAAATATTTTTTTTATTAAATTAATTTCTTTTTCATTTCAATGAACATCTACAGAGATTTTGGAGAGAACTCCGGTGGCGAAGCCGGGCTGCGCTGGTATCCCAGAGGCGCGCATGCGCAGTTTGAACCCACCGTTGCTCTGTGGGAGAAAGACGTCCTGACTCCCCTTGTGCCATTTACTGCCTCTGAAAACCTGCTTCAGGGTGTCACTTGTGTCTCAACAGCACATTACAACAATATACCCTCTTAAATTTTTTTTGAATGAAAGTTTACAAAGAAATTGTCCTTTCGATCCATTCATACAGATTTATCCCTCTCCCCTCCCCCTTCATTTCCACATGCATGTCCCGTATCAGTGTGTCAGTTGCACGGTTGTTGTTAGTCCAGCCCACCAAAGCTAAACCGGCTCATCTGCTAGCAAGTTTTCAAAGCCTAGTGCAGCTGATGAATTCAAACTGTGCATGTGCACTTTTGGGCTGTCCGTGCAATTTACCATAAGTCACCAGCTCTGTTGCATTACCCGTGCTTATAGATCTCCTTTTTAAAATTAATGTTAATATAAGTTTACAGAGGCTTTGGATTTCCATTCATTCAGTGTTGTACTTTTCTTCCTGCTAACCCCTCCCACCCAGTTCGCTCTTCTATTTGAAAAGTAAAAGACACATTCTTTCATTGTTATAATAATCTCTCCTACCGAGTCCACTCCACTATGCAGCCTTTGTTCAGGACTCATGACAATAATACCTAATCATATATACCTTTTAAACAGTTCTCTCCCTCATCTGTTTCAATGCAGTATACATTATTTAACCAATTTTCTCAGTCTTCCTCCCCCAACCCGTGTCAGTCCTCTTTTATACAGTGGCATTATGCCGTATTTGTCTTTTTGTGACTGAGATATTTCACTCAGCATAATGTCCTCCAGGGTCATTCATTTTATATAATATTTCATGAGTTCCTTGTTTTTCAATGCTGCATAGTATTCCATTGTGTAAATATACCACAGCTTCTCTAGCCATTCATTTTTGGGCATTTGGGTTGTTTGCAACTCTTTGCTATTGTGAACAAAGCTGCAATAAACATATATGAGATGTGCATCTATCTGGCTGGGTGGCGGTTATGGTTTCTTTAGGGTATATTCCCAGTGGTAGAACTGCTGGGTCAAATGGTATTTCTATTTACAACTTTTTGAGAAAATACCATACCGCCTTCCATAGTGGTTGCACCATTTTACACTCCCACCAACAGTGAATAAGGGTTCCAGTTTCTCCACAACCTCGTCAGCATTTGTTGTTTGCTGTTCTGTTAAATTTTGCTATTCTTACTGGGGTGAGATGATCTCTCAATTGTTTTGATTTGCATCTGTCTTAGAGCTAGGGATTTTGAACATTTTTTCATGTGCTTGTTGGCCATCTGAATGTCTTCTTTAATGAAGTGTCTATTCATATCTTGTGCCCATTTTTCATTTGGGTTGTTTATCTTGTTGTAGTGTTTGAGTATTTTATAAATTCTAGATATAAGTCCCTTATCTGACATGTCATTACCAAATATTTTTTCCCAATCTGTGGCTTCCCTTTTTCACCCTGTTGGAGAAGTTTTTGCATGTGCATAACGTGCTTATATATCTTTTTATACATCTAAGATTCATGCCAGTTTATAGAATCTTGCTGAAATGTGCACAGTGAACATTATTCTTTTATTTCCTCCTGAACAGGAATATCAGTTATTTAGTCCGTCAGCCTGTGACTTCTGACATCCCAGCAGATGGCACTGTCTGAGCTGGTGCTGAGAAGATACACCCAAGGACCTAATGGCTGGCTGATTAATGTGTACTTGGTTGGCGCTCTGCTGGGCAGGGCCTGCATGTGAGCGATGCCACCAGGCAGGTTGTGTGTTGCCCATGCAGGGAACCGGAACCAGCCTTTTAGAGAGCGGGGCCATCCTCAAGCAATGAAGACAGAGAAAATGGATGAAGGCAACACATCAGTGCAGGCAGCCAGGCCGCAGACGCTCAACCGCCCCGGCCAGGAGCTCTTCCGCCAGCTCTTCAGGCAGCTTCGCTACCACGAGTCTCCTGGACCAGTGCAGACTCTGAGCCGACTCCAGGAGCTCTGTCGCTGGTGGCTGAGGCCTGACATCCTCTCCAAGGAGCAGATTCTGGAGCTGCTGGTGCTGGAGCAGTTTCTGACCATCCTGCCTGCAGAGCTCCGGGACTGGGTCCAGTTGTACTGCCCCAGAAATGGGGAGGAAGCCGTGGCCCTGCTGAAGGAGCTGCAGAAAGACCTGGATGGGACACCACAGGTGAGTGGGGGCAGGTGTGTGGAGCCTCCTGCACTCCGCCTGCCTGGGAACCAGCTCCGCTTTCCCGTTTTGCTCCCCTGCAACCAGAGCCGCTAAGAACATGGCCCTAGGTCATGGATCGTGGAGCGGGCAGCCTTTGCTACTTCCATGAGGGCAGTCAGCAGATGCCCACAAATAGTAATAACTAGAGCTTGTGCAAGGTTGCTTCCAGCATACAAAGTCTGATAGGAGTCAATCCTGATAGAGGCCTATCCTGTGCGGGTGATGTCTTTTGTTCACAAGGAGGGGAGTACTTAGGTCCTAGACGCGTGGCTTTTTGAGAGTCCAGGGTGAGATGTAGAAGAGTAGACTGTACCCTGTTGTTTCAGTCAGAGTTTGAGGATTTGCTCTGCCCTGTGTAGCAAGGTGGGCAGACCTGCATGAGAGGAAGAGAAATAGTCAGGGGAGGTTGGGAAAGCTTGGTGAGATGCTTAAAAAGAACATGGCTTGTAAGAGGGAAAGGGATGCGGCAGTTAGAGATTTGTGCCCTGATTTATAGTCTCTTCATTTAGAAGAGAGATAATTGAAAACATGTAAATATTGCCAATGAGCAGAGAGCCTGTTTGACAGCCAGGTAGAAATTAGAAATCAAAATTATCGAGGCCACGTGAAAGCCCCCCCTCCCCAAATCCTCAAGACGGAATGACTTTACAGAGTCACTCCATGGTTTACTTGAAATACCAAAATCTCAAATAGCAAAGCCTGAGAAAGTTAGCCTTTAACTTCATTTGGCATGCTGCTATAGGCCAAGGGAACTCTGGTGGCCTAGAGGCAAGGAGCTGTGCTGCCAATTGGAAGGTGCACAGTTCAAATCCACTAGCTGCTCCGTGGGAGAAAGATGGACAGTCATTTCACTGCCTCTGGAAATCTCCTGGGTGGTCAAGCCGTGAGTTAGTTCTGATTGATGGTACACAACAACTGTCCCTTTAGGAGACTTGAAGAGGAGAGAAGCACCGCCGTGGTAATCAGTTTATCATCTTGAATCTGTCACAGCGTCAGCTTCTGTGTCATCTCTGGCTAATAAGATGCATTCATCTTAGTGTAGAGAATGTCTTGGCCTGCTGACCACAGACACTCAGCGCTCATGGGCTGCAGCTTCCTGGTCTCCCGTCTCCTGGAGACGGCCTTTCTGTGAGACCAGAACTGCTGTGCTGCTAACACAAAGGTGATACCTCTGGCAGTTCGGATCCACTGTCAGCGACGCAGGAGCGACTGGGACAATGAGTCCTCAGCTGTGAATCGGTTCCAACTTGATGGCAGGGAGTAGAGTTGTGAAGAACAGTTGGAAATCTCAGAAGACAGGCCTCCTCCCTGCGGGTGTCTGCTTGGAAGGACCTTGCTGGGTTTCTACACCAGAGACTTTGTCTTCGGTGGTTCAGTGGCTGACCCTCTGAATTCACATTGCTTCTCTTGGCAGCATTAAAGTTCTTTCAGGCCCGTCATCTGTCATCCAGGAGCCGTGCATCCTCTTCGAGGTCACACTCATGTCAATATCTACAGAGAGCTTGACCCTCGATGGATGTCACATGTGGTTTAGAGAGACAAATAAATTGCTTCTCTCTCAGAGCGACGCTCTGGGCTGTGGGTGGAGGGGAGGCGAGGTAGGGCTGTCACCGCTGTTCCTGGCAGCTGTTATTCCCGACTATCCTGGTGCTTGCTTATGTGATGCAGGAATCTGCCTCCCCATTGGCTCCTCAGTGACCTTCCCTTCCCAACCATTAGAGCACAGTTAGGGGCAGGGGGTGTGAGGGGCTGAGGATGTGGGGGGCCCTCCTGGACGTTCTCTTGTCTCCTCTCTACCTGGAGGTGGTAAAGGGCCCAGCTTGCCTTTCCCTTTAGAGATCGGCCATGTGGCCTCCTCTCTGCGTTGACTTTCTGATTCCCACGGGGATCCTCTCACAGCATTTTCTTCTTGCCAGGACCCAGCCCCTGCCCAGAGCCCAGATGTGTGTTGGATGGGCACAGGAGCCCTGCGAGCTGCACAGTTCTGCTCCCCTGCTTCACCTTTCAAGAGCAGCTCTGTCCCTGGGGACCACCTGGAGCCCCCCTATGACATAGGAGTGCGTCACAACCTGGCTGGGCATTCCGGTACTCGCCACCCGGCTGTGAGACCCCAGCCTCATGCCACACCTCCCAGATTGCCTGTAGTGCTGTCTCTCTACCCTCTGTCCTCCGTGAGAACCCTGCTCTCCTTGCACTTGACTCTGTGTTCTCCTCACACCTCCCGTGACCCATTTCTGGCTCTTCCTCCCATTGCACCCCCAACTTGGCCCCAACCCGCAGTCCCCAGAAGACACTGGGAAAACATGGCACTGTTATTTAAGTACAGTCTGCACCTTTCGTGGGCCCAGAAGTCCTCTTTGTCTGGGGAAGAGTGGGCTTCTCAGAGGGGCACCCAGAGCTGGGTGGCTCATTCATGGTTCGTTTTTCTCACTCAGGTCCTCCTCCGGCTGCTCAGGGGCCCACCCTCACTGAGAAAGAAAGGTACACGGGAGATGACATGAGGGCAACCAGGCCCCTGGCTGACCAGCCCCAGGTGAGCTACAGAGCTGGGTCCTTCCTGAAGTCCCAGCTCTGCTGAATGGTGAGGGGAACCCTGTGGGTGTCTGCAGTGAGCTCATACCTCAGCTCATCCCCGCAGGGCACAGAGCTCTTCTCCACCACGATGGTCTTCTCCTCCCCTTGCCAGACCTGCCCTTTGCTCACTCAGCCCTGCGAGTCAACCCTGTCCTGGATGCCAGGAGCTGCAGGCCCCTTCTAGAGCACAGTCCTGTGTTTTTGCAGGAGGCTCTGACTTTCAAGGATGTGGAGGTGGTCTTCTTCCAGGATGAGTGGGGTTGGCTGGACTCTGCCAAGAGGAATCTGTACCGGGATGTGATGCTGGAGAATTACAGGAACATGGTTTCTCTGGGTAAGGCCCCGGTGTCCCCAAGCTTTGCCCCTTTTCTCTGGTTTTCATTGCAATGCCTTATAGGGGTCCTGCCCTAGGTGTAGGTCTTGGCTCGGTTCACAGTTAGCAAGGTCATTTAGCCCGTGTCAGTTACCTCTTTTGCACAGCGAGGATAATCATACGTATCACACAGGATCAGTGTAAAGAAAAGGTAGTGTGCGTCAGATTCCTCGTCTGTTTAGCTGATCAAGAACATGTTGGCTGGTTTAACCGATTGAGCTGTGGTTTGTACCTCCGGAGAATCCTAGGGATCCTCTTAGCTGAGGCTTCTCTCGTCCTTTCTGTGGTGTTGTTGTTGTTGTTGTTGTTATGTGCTGTCGAGTCTCTTGCGACTCATAGCGACCCTGTGTACAACAGCTCTAAGCTCTGCTCTGTCCTGTGCCAATCTCATTGCCTCTGACACACTCATCCCGACTGCCCCAGTCACTGAATCAATCCATCTCCCAGAGGGTCTTCCCCTCCTGCGCTGTCCCTCCACCCTCCCAAGCATGATGTCCCTCTCCAAAGACCGGTCTCTCCTTACAACATGACCAAAGTATGTCAGACAAAGCTTCAGAATCCTTGCCTCCAAGGAACAGCCCGGTTTAACGCTCTCCAGGATGAATCTGTTTGTTCTCTTAGCAGTCCATGGCACCTTCAGGACTCGTCTAGCACTCTTCTCCAACATCAAAGCTCAAAAGCATCAGTTCTCCTTCTATCCTCCTTAGTCATTGTCCAGCTCTCTGATGCATAACAAGTGATTGCAAAGACCATTGCCTGTACCAGAAGCACCTTAGTCTCCAGAGATACACAGTTGCTCATCCTTTCTATATCTATTGGAATTACCCAGACCTCCTCTCCCAACCCTCTCTCCCGGCCGCCCTGGCCTCTTCTCACTGCCGGGGCTGCAGGCCTGAGAGGGTCCTTGGAACATAGCGTTGTGGGACTCCCCTACCTTCCTGTTCCATGTCCTCTTCTTCTGCAGTGGCGCCGTTCCCCAAACCCGCCCTGATCACCTGGCTGGAGAGAAGGGAGCCCTGGGGCCTGAATGTCCAGAGAGCTCTGCGAAGAGAGAGTGCAGGTGCTGCCCCTGCAGGTGAGCCGGGTGACCCACCAGGTCATGACCCTCCTTCATATCTCCTGGGGTTTGGAGATTTACCCCATTGTTTTCTGGGAGAGTTTTAAGGGGTACTAGGTCACTGGACTTACCTTCCTCTCTTCCCTCCATTCTCCAGTTCCTGCTGCTCCCCTTACTCTCCCTCTACTTCTCTCCACTCCCCTCGGCTGTGCTCCCCTCCCCTCGGCTCTGTTCCCCTTCCCTCTCCTCTCTGCGCTGATCCATTGAAGGCTGTTCATTTCCTGCTCTGCCCAGCCCCTCCCAAGCAAGCCAGCTTAGTAATACCTCTAACTGACACTCCTTAATGTTCTACTCCTTAATGCCCTTCCTCCTCCCAGTACCTCCATTCTGCTGCGTGGTGTCCCTCTCCATGCCCACTGGTCTTCAGAACCTTCCTCTCACGCTTGGTCCTCTGTGCTGAGTCCCCTGTTCTGTGACAGCCACCCCCCACAGAGCTCCACTCCTTTACTTTGGGGTATTTTTCGTGCTGTGATTCACCACTCTGATGTTAGGTCTCTGAATGGACTTGACTACAAACATAGAGGCTGGCAGTTCAAGTTCAGTAGCACCATGGAAGGAAGGAAGATTCCAGTCAGTAAAAACCCTACAAATGAGCTCTCTCTGTAATTCATGGGATCCCCGTAAATCAAACGGACTCACTGGCAGTGGAAGTTGCCCCTCCTGTTTTATTATCATTCTTCTTTTGGCCTTTTCTCCTGTTTGATTTGATTTCTACGAATGTCTAACTGCAATGCCCTTTTTTGTCCCCTCCTTACTCTCATCTGGGACCCCCTCTATATTGTGCTATGACTCCAGCTTTTTCCTCTGTGTGTTGGCAGTCAGACAAAAACCTTGCCCCACATGGTCAGAGCATTTACTGCCCTGATGCTTTCTCCTGTTCCACGTCTGGGAAAAGAATACATTCTCTTGTGTTTCGTTTTGTGTCACAAGGTGGCCTTCAGACCAACAAGATTGTCTCAGGACGGGAACCTTTGGAAGAAGCCAAAAGCTTAGCTGTGCAATCAGGATGCTCTGTGGTCAGTGTTACTGAGGGAACTGAGCTTGACGACTCTTCAGAACATAACAGCAGGTTACAGGAAAAGCGCCGGCGTCCCTGCGTGATGAGGATTAAGAAAAAAGGGACAAGTTTCCACCCTGGGAGAAGAAAAGAATCTGAGGAATCAAGGACTAGTAGTCTTGGCCTAAAACTTTTGGCATGTCTGAGGGTTCCTGGAAGAAGGCAATTTTTGAAGCTTGGCTATAGCAGGCACTTCCAACAGAGATCCCCGCACTACAGAGCCAGGGAGTCTGAGAAAGAGTCCAGACTCGAGCTTAGGAGGTTCAGCCTGCAGCCGGGCATTTCTGCCATGCTCGAAAGGCAGGAAAAGGACACCGGTGGGGAGGACTCCAGCCACAGCGCTCGTCAGCAGCAGGGCCAGAGCCTTCCCCAGGTGAGGACCTTGTATCGATGCAGTGACTGTGGGAGGACCTTCAGTCAAAGCTCCCATCTTGAGCGTCACCAGAGACTTCATGCCCAAGAGAAGCTCTTCAAGTGCAGGGTGTGTGGGAAAGCCTTTAGGTGGAACTCCAACTGCACCCGGCACGAGAAGATACACAGCAGCCTGAAACCTTACAAGTGCAGCTTATGTGAGAAAGCTTTCCAGCGCCACTCGGCCTACCGTCTGCACCAGAAGACCCATGCGAGGAAGACCCTCCCCGAATCCAGTCAGAGGTTAGGCGACCTGCAGAGCCCCAGCGAGAAGACGCCGTTTGACTGCAGCCTGTGTGGGAAATCCTTCCACTGCAGATCATACGCGCTTGAGCACCAGCGCATTCACACCCAGGAGAAGCCCTTTTCCTGCGACAAGTGCCTGAGAACCTTCAGGTGGAGGTCCAACTTCACGCGCCACATGAGAATGCACCAGGAGAAGGAGCTGTACCAGCCCGAACAGCGCAAGGAAGACGCGGGGTCCACCTCCAGCGGCAGCCAGCCCCCCAAGGGCTCCTCTGAGCTCCCCAAGGACTCCTCCGAGGAGAAATCCTTTCTGTGCCAGCAATGTGGCAAACATTTCACGCGAAAGAAAACCCTCCATGACCATCAGAGGATTCACACAGGGGAGAAGCCGTACCAGTGCGGGGAATGCGGGAAGGCGTTCACCCACCGCTCGGCCTCCATCGTGCACCAGAAGCGGCACCTGCTTCACAGGAGGCAGGAGCCCGAGCCAGCCAAGGGTCAGGACCAGGACGCACAGGCTTCTCCGCCCAAGCTCAGCGTGGAGAAACCCTACCAATGCAGCCACTGTGGCAAGGCCTTCACCAGCCACTCATTCCTCCTCCTCCACAAGAGGGTCCACACCCAAGAGAAGCCCTATCAGTGTCTGGAGTGTGGGAGGACCTTCAGGTGGAGCTCCAACCTCTCCCGCCACCACCGGAGCCACGCTTTTCAGAATCACCACAAACGCCTCGACGGCGCAGAGGCCCCAGGCCCGCAGCCCGTAAGCATGGAGAAGCCTTTCCACTGTCAGGAATGTGGGAAAAGCTTTACACGCAAGCGCACGCTCTTGGATCATCAGGGCATCCACAGCGGCGAGAAGCGGTATAAGTGCCACCTGTGTGGGAAGTCCTATGACAGGAGGTACCGGCTGCTCAATCACCAGGTGGTTCACAGCAAAGAGAGGCTGTTCACCTGTCAGCAGTGTGGGAAGGATTTCGTTGGGCTGCTCGCCTTCAGCGCGCACGAGAGCAAACACGCGCAAGAGGCCCAGGGTGAGCGCAGCCTGTCTGAGGGGTCTCACTCTGAGGACCCGGGCTTGAGTTCACAGCAGGCCAAACCCCACGAGGAGGAACCCCTCAAAGAGAGTGGGGAGGCCAGTGTGCAGAACCCATCCAGGCCCCCCAAACTCCCGAGACTACCCGTTGGCAAAAAGCTCCACAGATGTAACGTGTGTGGGAAATCATTTCAGAAGGGCTCACAGCTCCTTAGCCACAAGAGATTTCACACGCGCGAGAGGCCCTTCAGGTGCAGTGTGTGCGGGAAAACCTTCAGGTGGTCTTCAAACCTGACTCGGCATGTGAAGAACCACACGAGAGACTAGCCCAGGGCCTGGCAGTGTGGGGGTGTTCCTGGCTGTTTTGTTATGGGAGAAAGAGGGCCTGGCCCTTCCTGTTGGGAAAGGAGTCCTGGGGTTTGAACAGCAGGCAGTCGACTGTCTTAACTGCTTGCAAGTGGGATGCTAAGAAGAAGAGCAACACGCTCTTTGGGTGCTCTGCTCAAGGCTCTGCCCAAGGAGTGGCCTTTGCTCAGTGGCCGTGGGTCTGTCAGCCAGGTTTCCATCCACAGGAGAGACTACCACCCTTCGTGGTTGGTGGCCAGGATGGTCGTTGGGTCGGTGGACCATGGCTGCAGGGCGGAGCCAGTCAGAACCCCAGCTTCTCTGGGTTTGACCTCACAGAGCAGGCAGCAAGAACCCCTCCTGGACTCCCCAGATGCAGTTCTGACTGGAGACCCTGGAGTAAGCTTGGAGACACCTGTTCTGGGTACATACAGTGTTGTCTCGGTGGTCAGTGGATAAAGTAAATGTCTTCCATAGGGTGTACATGGCTGGCCTTTTTGTTTGCCGGGAGCAGGTGGGAACAAAGGCTTTGGGATTAGGTGGAAAAAGAGGTACTGAGACAGACCTCGTGGAGGGCCTCTCAGCCCTGAGCAGTAACTAGGCTCTGAACTTTCCAGACAGACACCTCCTACTGGTGCTGCGTTGCCAGTTCAACCCTGTACTTCCGTTCTGCACTCAGGAAGGATTGGTCACCAGGTTTGCTGTGGGTTTCCTGCAGCGGTGGCCGCCTGCAGCCTGGTATCGGTGTCCCACTGCTGGCACCGTGCCTGAAGCTGGCACTGGAGGTGACTGAGTTGTGCTGTCTACTGTCCCCTGGAGTATCCCCTCCTTCACTGCTGACCTACTGCTCACCCTGCAAGGCCTGGCCTCTCCAGATCGTCATCCTTCTGAGCCCCCTCTGCTGCTCTTCTCCTGGTCTGCACCTCACTTCCAGCCGGCTTTTCCCTACTGCCAGCCCCATCTCTGAAGGCCAGGCCGAGTGCTTGCCTGTGGGCTGTGCACAAATGCACAAAGACGTCTCTTACTAAGGTTTGTATTATCACATGCATTAAGATCAGCAACCAAGTTAGGTCTTTGTTTGGTTTTGGTCTTTTCTTCTGGAGGAGTCCCTTGAATGAAGTGTCCACTTGGAGCTACCTCTCCCAAACACCCCCCCCCCCACACACACACCCTTACACCCTCCCTCACACCACCCACCCTTCACTCATTCCCCCCCCCACCCCTTCGCTCCTGCTGTTGAGGAGCCCAGCTATGGAAGGTTCTGGGCTGTGTGGCTCCAAATGCCTGTTTATGACTGGTCCCAGCCACAAGTTATTATTTCACAGTCCATCCTGGCCTGGCCACCTCCCTACCTCCTCCTCCCTTTCCTCCCCTTCCCTCTTCTCCCCTCCTCCCTCCCCTCCCCAAGAAGGACTGAAGCTGGGAATGGGGTGAGCACCGGGAATGGGCTGATAGAGATCCAGAGTTGAGTTCCAGTCAGGTGTTCTGGGCAGTCAGTCAATCTCCACTGCTGATAGAGACCGAGACCAGACCGGAAGAGGGGAAGGACAGGAAATGCGCATTCTTAACCATCTCACATTCTTTGATTGTAAATAGCAATGCTGAGGAAGCAGCAGAAGCTGCGTAGTAAAGGTGGTTCAGCATTTATGAAAAGTGAGCACGCACCTGTGAGCACAGTCCTTCAACTTATCGTGTTTCACTTTATTTATGAAATAGAATTGTAGCATCAACTTCCGATTAAGTGATTGGGCCGGGTGGGTGATCAAACGGTGCATGTCAAGTGTTTAGAATAGCAGCAGTAAACCTTGTTGGCATATAGTGAGCAGTGTTGTCGTTTTGCACAATAATGTCTTTTCTGTGGATTACCTTTTATGAAATAAGTGTAAAGCTAAGCATTGGAGTGGGTGCAAAAGGCAGTGTGTCCTGCCCTCCCGGGGTAAGTGCTGCTGAAGGGAATAAGGTTGCATGGGGCCTTGAGTTTTGTTTTTTTAAAATGGATGCAGCTATGTCAAAATGTTGGATTAACACAACAGTTTGGTAAGGTGTTTTTTTTTAAAACCTATTTGCTTCTATTTTAAAATAAAAAATATTTTTAAAGCCAGATGCTTATGACCTTATGATTTTATAGACACCCTAGTTCTTTCATTTAGTAGTGAGCTGCTTGGTGTAAACCACTTACTCTCATGATTTTTCAGTTTCCTCCTCCACAAAAATCGGCAGCTACATGAGTACCAATTAGTAAAGGAACGGTTAAACCACCTGGGGCCCCTGTTATGAAATGCTGGGCCACAGTTCTAGAAGAAAGATGCCCTTCATGTTCTGACGTGAGACTTCCAAGCCGTGCAGTGTGGAGGAAGGTATTAAGCTCCCATTTTCTTTTCATTCCTCTTTGCCTACAAATAGCAGAGAAAGCCAGAATTATTGGCTTATAAATTTGAGCAAGGAATAGGATCTAGTGCCCAGAGATGCTTAGTAAATTCAGCTTATTAGGCCCTGAAAAGGTTACATACCACCTATACGCCATTTACCTACTAAACCTCAAATCAGTGCTAAGCCTGCAAAGAATGGCAGATTTCATATCAAGCAGGGTCGAGACAGGAACGAAAGGCCACACCAATTCGTAAAGAGCATTTATTATTATATTGTTAGGTATTGTTAAGTACCGTCAACTACGACTCATAATGACCCTCTGAACAACAGATCTGAACCAACCCTGTCCTGTCCTGTGCCATCTTCACACTTCCTAGCCCAGTGCGGCAAGTTACCATGTCAATCCACCTGGTTGAGGGTCTTCCTCGCCTTTGCCGACCCTCCACCCTTCCAAGCATCGTCTTGCAATGCAGCTTCCACTTCCTCCTTCATGACTACGGGCTCCTATTCATAATGGTAGTTCCTGAAAGTTTTCAGTGTCAGAACTGGGTGTAGCTAAGTAAAAAGACAAAAGGGGACATTTACAGTGGAGAGGTGACCTCTACGAGGAATAGCTGTCGGCTCTGGGGCTGTAGCATTCGGATTCCTGTTTTTCTCCATATTTGACAACTACTAGCTTTCAAACCCTGGCCTCTGTCCTTCCCCTCTCGCCCTCCATCTGCACAAACTGATATGGAAGAACCTGCAAATCCCATAACCAGTTGCAAAGCCGGTGTGTAACCCACAATGTGATCGGGCTTGCCCATCGCCTCTGCCGCCTCGCTGCGGGCACAAATGTTCCTGAGGAGGGGCCTAGGCTAGGTTCCAGCCCCCTGGGGTCCCAGGTGTTCCTTGTGGGAGTGTGGGGACAGAGGCCGAGTGACCCGCTCCAAAGCTGGTCCCAGTCAGAGAACAGCCCTCCTTTGACAGCCATCCCGGTGAGGTGGAGCTGGATGGAGATGATGCAGCTGAGGCACCGGCAGGTTTTTGGAGGCTGTGGATTGCATGGGAACCATGTCCATCTTCCCCCACAGAGTCGCTGACGGATTTGAACTGCCAACGTGCCACCTTTGGGTCAGCAGTACCACTTCCTACGCTCAGCCACCAGAGGTTTACAGCTGTGGGACTGGACGAGTCATTCCCCTCTGAACCTTCGTCTTCAAGTTTGAGATGAGACAAGACAGGTTAGACAGTTCCGTATTCCTAGCTCCCTATCTCTGGCCCTTGTCAGCAGCTCAGGCTGGGGGGAAGTTTCTGCCTTGTTTTCTCCAAGGTCCTTGTTTTTATGTACAGAATCCTCAGATCCCGCTTCTACCCAACCTGCTTGGGGTGTGCACCCACTGCTGGCTTTCCAGATTAGAAACCCAGAGGTCTTAGACTGGCAACTGTCTTGTTACCAAAATGCCACTGAGTGGGATACAGGCTCAGTGACCCTATTAAAATTCTCCCCTGTCCTGCACTGTCCTCTTGATTTCCACTGTGCCCGAGCCCATGGTTGTAGGCACTGTGCCAATGACCTTCTACCTTTCCCACCTGCACTGTCAGGTGCCCTCAAGCCACGTCCCATTTATAGTGACCCTATGAACCACACATCTCTATCCTGTGCTATCCCATCTGTCTTATTGTTAGGTGCTGTCGAGTTGAGTATGACTCAGCGACCCTATGAACCCCACCCTGTCCTGTGCCATCTTCACACAGCAGTCACCATGTCAATCCACCTGGTTGAGGGTCTTCCTCTCCTTCACTTCCCCTCTACCCTTCCAAGCATCATGTCCCTCCTCCAAGGAATAGCCCCTTCTAGCAATATATCTGATGTGAGGTGAAGCCTCATCATCCTTGCCTCCAAAGAGCACTCAGGCTCTACCCTCTCCAAGACATATTTATTTATTCTTTCAGTAGTCCATGGGATGTTCAGTGCTCCTCTACACCACAGCTCAAAGGCAGCAATTCTTCTGTCGTCCTTATTCATTGTCCAGCTCTCAGATGCATAGCAAGTGATTGGAAACACCATGGCCTGAATCAGATGCATCTTTCATTTGGCTGTCATGTTGTTATGTGCTGTCGAGTCGCCTGTGACTCATAATGACCCTGTGTACAACAGCTCTGAAGCCTGCCCTGTCCTGAGCCAGTCTCACTAACTCCAACACACCTACCCCCATTGCCCCAGTTACTATGTCAATCCACCTCACCCGGGGTCTCCCTCTCCTGTGCTGTTCACCTTTCTGAGCATGATGTCCTTCTCCAAGGACCGGCCCCTCCTGGCCATATGCCCAAAGTATGTGAGACTGAGCTTCAAATTCCTAGCCTTCAAGGAGAAACTTGGTTTCTTCAAGACAGACTTATTTGTTTTCTTGGTGGTCCATGGTGTGTTTAAGACTCTTCTCCAGCACCACAAGAAATCCCTGCCCAGCTCTTTTCCCACTTCCCTCTTTTTAGCGATGTCTAGTTCAACCTTGGGTCCTGTGAAACAGGTCCCAGCCACATGCTTGGGCAGGCCTAGTGGATAAGCCTGCTTTACTCTGTGTTGTGCAGGGAGGAGTCAGAAGCCCAGAGAGCCCGAGGTTGCCTGGCCA